TTATTATTGTAGCATGTGTTTCATTACACCGGTGTATATACGTTGGCTTGAATACGATGTTATAGATTTCTTTTTTCTATTGACTATAAAAATATTTTGTAAAATGCATGGGATAGATACAATAAAAAAAAATCGAATTAATCACAAAGCGGAAACTTAAGTTTTGAGGGTCTTAAAGGGTCTCCGGTTCTCTACAATCACCATAAAAACACAACAGCATTGAGCTGCTATTTGACGCTGGTCTGTATGAGTGTGATCTTTCCCCAATCGAGTCGACCCATTCGTCCTACAACCATATTATAGCTGCAGCATGGTTCTACCATGTAAAGTTTTTCTTGTAATGGCCAATAATAACAATTTAACGATACGCAAAAGAGTTAAATTATAACATGAATGGTATGGGACTTTATACTTACTATACTTAAAACCCCATATCATCCTGTGAGTTACATAATTTCCTTGTTTTTCTGCCGACTTCCAAAAAGGAGCCGGTACTCAATTCGACTGTATGTTTTTTTTTTTTTTTCGTTTTTTTTTTTTTTTTTTATGTGTGTTACCTCAGAACTTTTTTCTGGGTGAACCGATTTCGATGATTCTTTTTTTATTTGAAAGCTGGTACTTCTCGTGTGGTCCCATATGAATTTGATCAAGGTCAGACCAATAGTTTTTAAGTTATTCTTAAATAACTTATATTGAAGTCGGCTGTACAAAATTTTTAATTTTAAATTATGTTTATTACTATGCAATATTTTGTAAAATTGTTTTTTGGAATTTTATGAATGAATGAATGAATGAATATACTTTATTGTACATTACAAAAATATACAAATAACATAACAAAAAGCAGATTATACAATTTGGCAGCCTTATCGTAACATAGCGATCTCTTCCAGGCAACCAAAGTTGTAAAGGAATAAAACAATGAATACTAGGTAGATGGTGCAATATAAATATACAAAATATAATAATATCAGTACATGCTATATATAGACAATACATTTTTTTTTTACAATTTTATTTTATAATGTGGTAATTTATATCTCTGTATTCAATAATTTTGTAATTGTTAATGTGTTGTACTATGTAATAATGTTTTTATAACATCTGTCAAACACACACATTATTCAAATAATAACATAATAACTAACACATTATAAATTCACTTATATAAATTAACATCCCACTTACGAGGCGATGAGAGATCTATGACAAGCTCATGGTCAGCAGTGGACTTTTGATAGGAATAATTAGAATATATTTATAGCAATTAAATATTTCATAAATAGATAGTGTAATTTAATTGTAAGATTTTTTTTAATCATAGAATGAGCAACTAAGCAATATTTTACCTGATGGTATGTGGCTAATCCAGCGCATAGACACCTGCAACCGACTTCAAACAACAAATGCCACAGATGTGTTCTAGCTTCCTTAGGCCTTAGGTAGATGAAATAACTCAGAGCCTGCAGCCTCTTGGTACACATTATATAGTTACATTCTACAAGGCAAGTTTGTACTTAACAGTTTGCAACCTACATCCCACGACTCGACACAGACCTCATCTTGTTTCAGAGAGTGCTTCAAATCGGTACTTTACGTGGTAGAGCCGCGCTGCAGCTATATTAGTATCTAGTACAGTTGTAACACGAATGGGTCGGCTCGGCCGGGGAAGGACTACGCTCTCACAGAATACTAGCGTAAAATAGCAGATTAACACTGCTGTGTTTCGTATGGTGAGTGTAGAGAAACGGAGACCCTTTTTTAATGGAAACAAGGCATTACATCTTAGTCTTCAGGAGTGACAACGCATCTACACATTGATTCGTAACAAAGATTAGATGTAATGTCTATGGCCCACAACATTCACTCACCATACGAAACATAGCAGCACTAAGCTGCTATTGAATGTTGGTATTCTGTGAGAGCGTGGTCCTTCTCCGGTCAAGCCGACCCATTCGTGCTACAACCATAATATATAGTTGCAAATCATACTCATTACTTAAAATATATGTTATAGTGTTTTGTTTCTAAAACTGAGACTGTAATTTACAAATCAAAATGTATCATAGAGCCTATATTATGTAGATATAAAAAGTTTTCCTTATTATGTTTTATTGTCTGTTATTTACTTCAGTTTTATATAGCGAGTACCTTTATTTATATACCTGTGTATTTATATTAAGATAATTTATATACCAAGGACATACAATTCTCTTTATACTTTAAGTTTAATCTAAGTATAAAGATTTAACCGGTCTTTAAATGACCCTTCATTTTAATATCATTAATTTCTATTTATATGTAATAAACAATAAAATATTTATTTGTCATTTTATTATATAAATTTAATCTCAATTCTCTCAATAAATTATAGAATTAAAATTTATAATGAATAGATTACAGGAGGGGTATCTACCTAATGTCTTAAAGCAGTCTCTCCTAATGAACGTGGTACTCGTGGAAATATTGTGATAAATGTCAAAAATAATAAAAAACAAATTGAAATTATAATTATGAGGCTTAAATAACTTACTGTGTTAACGTGTCTATATTTTAAACAAGTAAAAGAATTTATGTGTTGACACATTGCGAAATACGCGGCGTGTATTCGTACCAGCGCGCGGCCGACGGAAAACGGTAGAGGTATGAACATCTTAGAGACGAAAATGTGGCCATTTTCTTAGCTTCTTTGTAATTTATATAACCAATTTTGTATTAAAATCGTAATTTTATTATATTACATATTTGTTTATTGTAGTGCGGTTTATTTCAGAAATTATTTTTGTTGTTATTATAACTTCGAGTCGGTAAGGCAAACACTATTTTAATCGGTCATTTTTAAAACGTCATAATATGTTACACATGTTTCACTTTATATAGCTAAGCTAAACCATATTTATCTTTTTTTTATAGGATAGGGTGACAAACGAGCACACAGTCCACCTGATGGTAAGTGGATGCTGCGGCCCATAGACATGTACATTTATCCTCGTTTGCGAATCAAAATACAGATGCGTTGTCACTCGTGAGGACTACGATGAATAGAATAGAATAGAATATTTTTTATTCAATATACATTACATGTGTAATTCTTATTGAAAGTCATTTTTTACTTTACCACTGGTTTGAAAAAAACCCTCTGTCCTGGGAAGAACCAGCAAGAAACCCAGCGGGACTTTTTTTTAAATAAATTTTACAATATAAATGATTACGAACTATTTACAAAATTTATTTTAGAAACTGCTTGGAAGCGATCACCTCATTCCCAGGGGTTATTATCAACCATGTATTCATTTATACTATAATAACCCTTTTTATACAGTTTCAGCTTAATAAAACATTTAAACTTGGTAATAGAGAGAACCTGTACACTTTCCGGGACCTTGTTGTAATAGCGTATACAATGCCCCAAGAATGAATTACTGACTCTGTGGAGTCGAGAAACTGGTATCACTAGCTTGTGTTTGTTCCTAGTGTTTACAGAATGTATATCACTTCTTTTACTAAAACTATCTTTGTTTTTGTGAACATACATTAAATTTTCGTAAATATACTGAGAGGCCAAAGTTAATATATTAATTTCTTTAAATTTATCTCTAAGAGACTCTCTCGGTTTTAGATTGTAAATAGCTCTAATGGCCCTCTTCTGTAAAACAAAAATAGATGGAATGATGGTCTCCGGTTCTCTACACACCATACGAAACACAGCAGTGTTAAGCTGCTATTTTACGCTGGTATTCTGTGAGAGTGTGGTCCGTCCCCGGTCGAGCCGACCCATTCGTGCTACAACTATACTACTAATATAGCTGCAGCATGGCTCTACCACGTAAGAAATCAACTTACATAAATATCTACTTAACTATAATTTGTGCTGCTCTCAAAAAATGGTTATCATTTAAACATTCTATTAAGAACCTAATCTTCTAAACCTCAGGCTATGCAAAATAAATATAACTATTAATATTTAACGTTAGATGTAGTATTAATGATTTCAATAGGAATAACAAATATTTAAGTAATTAATTGTACCAATTCATCGCTCACCTACGATACATTACTTTAGTAGTTTTAAAATGTTTTAGAAGTTGTTTGTAGCAAACTTGATGGCAATACTACCTTTAAAAAATATTTAAGCTTAAAATTTCGCATTAACTAAAAATAAACAAATTATTGATCGCAAGCTAAATACCTATGTACAAGTTAGTTTATAAAATTAAACATGAAAAGAATCAAAGAGAAGAAGGAAAATATTTAGGTTAACTAAAATTTGAACTAGCTGAGTTCTTGTCACAAATTTTCTAAAATACAATACTTTTAAAATTATTTTATTTTTGAATTGCAATTTATTTTTACTATTTCACTATTTATAAAAATGCAATACTTTTAAAATTATGAAATATACAACGCGAGTTTGCCAGTTGTGTTAAGGTCGTGCCCCACCGCGTAACCCGAGACAGCGCGTTCACAAAGGCCCGCCACACGCGCTAATTATGCCATCACAAAGCGCTTGAACGCGCTATTGTTTAACTCTATCGGCTCGTCTGCTCCGACGGAGAATTTATGCGATTGTGCTAATCAATTGCTTCCACGTTCCGTTAAAACTAACGTTAAAAATTAAAAAAAAATGATATTCGTGTAAGAATTATTTCATGGGAACCCTGAGAATTGCCGGCTAAGTTTTTATTCTCAACTAATAATTTTTAATTTTAATTCTGTCGCAGTACTGCAGTGCGTATTTGTGTAATATGTGGCTCCGACAGAATATCAGCGCTGAGGTAACTGTAGCAATAATCTAGAGTAGGTGGCCCTTTTGTTGCTACGAGTACAATGTATTTTTTGTTAAATATGTAGTTAAGTTTTATTTTGTTTGTTAAATTGATGAACAATATATTCGTCTTTATTGCAAGTCAATTGATAAAGTAATCGAGATAGACGGGTGGTGTTTAAGGATTGTTCTGTGCATAGATCGGTTGGTGAACAACGGGTATAGTAAGACTTACCGGGCGGCGCATGCAGTAGCGGTGGTCCTGGTAGGAAGGCGGCTGCAACAGCAGCTTGTGCGTTGAAAGCGGCCGCATAAGCCACTCGGCTGGCCACAGATGCCGGTAATGGGAACTGGGGAGCGAAATGGCCGCGCCCATCGCGGGCAGAATGTCCGTCACCATCGTACCGCTCTCGGCTGTCGCGGCCATCTCGTCCATCCGACAGCCCCAGCAGCTCTTGGATGGCGAATGGCGAACGCTGCGGTGCTCGCGGCGCGCTCGCGTTCGCGCTCATCGCCTGCATCGTGTTCAGCTTTGCTCCCAACTTACATAACTGTCTAATTGCCGTACGTAATTATCGTCCCTGGTTTCTTTCCCTTTAACACAACTTCTTCGTTTCTTTTTTATTCACTAAATTAGTCCTAGCACTATAAAATTAGTTTAAACTATTATTTAGTATATACTTTAGGTCCGTCCGTTAGGCCGATTGTGTCGAGATGTAAAGCGGTATAATTTGGCCAAGTCGACGGCGAGTCGCGTGATTTTGCGAATGGTATGCAATGATACAGCAATAGGAGCGCTCGCCGCGGCGTCCGGAGCGCGTCTGCGGCCCGCCCGCCGCGCCGAAACTTCGCCACCCTCGGCCCCGACCGCCTCACCCACCACCGACGCCAAACCGTCACAAGCGCCACGAAAACCCAGCACTATACGACGTTTTGGAGCTGCAACTACAAGCGGCAGGCGGGCGGGGCCTCGCTAATAGCCAATACGGATATTTTGTTACCGCACTCTATTGGCCAGATTTCTCCTCGAGCCCCGCCCACCGCTCGCTCTGCCGGCTGAAATGAAACCCTCGCAGTACAAGTTAAGTCAGAAAGTTGGCCGCGAGGTCGGGGGTTCATTTAAAGTTGATTAACTTTAAGAAATGAGCCGGTGCGGAGAGCGCGGTCGCCCGCTCGCCGCGGTATGGGTAAGGCTTTATTTAAATCAGTACTTAAAATTTTAAATACAGTGTTCTTAAAATATACCTCGGGTATACAAAAATTATAAGAACATAAAGGTACGTAAATATTGAACAGCTGGCTCTTAAAATTCTAACTAATAAATAATAAAATTTCAACTGTTATTGTTTTAGTTTTTTAGAAATCATATGAATAAAATTTTAAAATTAAATCACATTTCGAGAAATATTTCAAAAATAAATAAAATTTATAATTAGCTGTATTTTATTTTATTTAATAAATATTTGCTTCTTTATATACCTACCAGTAAAGAAAAGATATAAGTAAGGTTTTAAATTTTTCAATTGTTTACAATAAACTTTGAAGAATAATTTTATCAATGATTAAAATAATTACTAACACAACTATAGTTTATTATTTATTCATTTTTATAATTATTTTTAAGGCGTAAAATTATGCACGTACATAAATTATTAAAAAATATTTGAAAATATAAACATTAAAATACACGACGGTCTTACAGGTTAATGCTGCCAAAAGCAATTTAGATATGCAAACATAAAAATATATATATACGAGTAAATTAAATAAGGTGACCTGTCTACTAACATTAACCTAAGCTAACGTTATATTTTCTCGGCCATCTGTTCGTTTAGATCTGGTATGTTATTAGAGAAAGGACCAAAAACATAATTAAGGAATCCATGTATTAAAATAAAAAAAAAAACCTCCGGCTGTTTCAGCTCCGTAGCTCTATTTTCGGAATGAATAATTCTTAGATATTTAATTTATTTAGAGCATAATTTTATTGGTTTTTTTCTGTGGAGACGATTGCTGATGGTGACTGCCACCGTCCATGAACAATGCCGGGCTTTTAAAAACTTAGGGATATTCTATAAAATTATTTTATAGGATACCCCTAAGTCGTATCAATCTGTAAAAAATCGCCGGTGACAACTTATTTTATAAAGTAACTAGTTGTGCGAGGTAGAAAACTTCTAAAATCGTTCTGCAGTTGACAGCCAAGTATCCTGATGGTGTGGACGGTATAGGGAATTTAATGTTAATTTTTGTATAGATTTACAATTGGGACTTACTGTTAGATATAAGTTCAATATAAGGAAGTTCAAATTCACCTAGCGCACCTAGAGTCTAACTCTACATTTTACTACGTTTAACCGTTTGAATGTTGGCAATTTTTTTCCGTCTCACCGTTTACCTCTTAACCAATGTAATTCAGCACATAATTGCATAATAAAAAGCTTCACATAGAAAATATAAAAAAAACGGTTCTGTGATTTTTAACAAGAAAATCGACCTCTTAATTAGTTACTAAATAGCACCCGCACACATATTAGAGAAAGGGGGCAGAGATAGAGAGATATAGAGAGGGAAACTTGAAAAATTCTAATAGTACTTAGAAAGAAGGGTGAGAGAGGGAGAGAGAGAGATGGGAACGTGGACAATTCTACAAAATATACGGTACTACTGTAGTTGTATAATTATCCTTCCCCTAGACCTGCTTCATAGGGGGGATTTTGTCATAATTGTCATGCTTACCAGGCAGATCGGCACACACAATTTTTATTATTTACAGTTGTTATCAGGAAGATGCTGCAGCACATCTCCTTTTTCAGTTTCCCTCTGTCGCCTCCTACGAATGATCGTCCATGGATGTCGCCACGGGAAAAAAATAATAATAATAATAATAAATCATTTATTCTGGACCAAACCTTTAGTACATTTTTCACACCCACCAAACTGCGTAACAGTTTGTCGGCGGGACGATATGGGGTAGTGGATATTCTTACTTTTATTGATTAAGCTGCTATTTTACGCTGATATTCTGTGAAAACATGATCTTCCAAAGGTCGAACAGATTCATTCGAGCTACAACCATAAACAGTTGCATCGTGCCTCTATCACGTATAAAATTACGTGGCTCTACCATCTAATTATCTATCTGTATGCAGAAGTTTTTTGAGCGAGCTCTCTAAATTACATTGTTTTTTGCAAAACAATCTAACGATCTATACTAGCAAGCAATCAAGGATATAGGTCTTCCCAAAAATATGGTTAACTCTTCTTGAAACACTTGTCCATTCCAGACTCAAAGTATGTAAGGGCGGGTGAAACATTTTTGAATATTTTCATTATATCATTTTTGTATGGGATCTATTAAGAGAGAAATTTCCAGAGCCTCCTACAGTAAGCCGGACGTATGTAGGTACGTATCGCGTACGAATGACCTTGACATTTTTTGAAATCATTCAAATTACTAGGTACAATAAGCGAAAAAGTATACTGAAAAAGTTAAAAGTACTCATATTATAAAAAAAATTTTTTTTTGTATCTCATATCTATAGGTAACTCTAAATCGATAGACAAACCGCACGCGTTTGTTGAAAATTATGCTCCAGGAAGCATCTTCCACGTTTTCAATGACATAAAAATCTATGCAGCGAAAATATTTACAAAATTTAATATAATAGAATAAAAATAACATAAGCTATGCTATTGATTTTTTAATCATAACAGAATAAAAAATCAATAGCATAGCTTATTATTTACAGTAGTGGGGATAACGTGCGGTTCTAGAAAGCTGTTTTAGAAAGACACTGGTGCCCATTTCCTGGTTAGTTTCTCTGTGTCGCACCGTACGACGCATTCTGGACAACATGGGTTAGTGGATATTACACCGCTACTATACGGTGAAGCACAGTTATGACCATTATTTCAAAACATGGGATACGAACTTACAGTTCACCCGATATGACCAACTTCAAATGACGATGTGATGCCTTGTGGCTGCAGCTCCTGGGTCGGCTCGACCGGGGAGGGATCACGCTCCCACATAATACAAGCGTAGATAAAATAGCAGCATATTGAAATATATTAGTCATCTGGGTATGACAATGCATCTGCATTTTGATGATCTTTCAGATAGATGGAGGTGTTTAGGGTCTTAATCAACATTGTCAGCGTTTTTTTGTTTCCTGCATTAAGCTGCTATTTTAGGCTAGTATTCTGTGAGAGCGTGGTCCTACCCCGATCGAGCCGACCCATTCGTGCTACAACTATACTACTAATATAGCTGCAGCATGGCTCTACCACGTAAAAAATTTTAATCTTTAACTAAAATACTATTATAACTATTTTCCATAACACTTCTTAGCACTTCATACATTATAGCTATCAGCCACTCAGCCAGGAAACCGCTAAGTTCACATATTGTAACCTTTTCTGATCAATAATTTTTGGTTAGTCTTTCTATTATTTTTATTTTTGTTGTTATATTGAAATTTTAAAGTAACGAAAAGTGCAGTATATATACCTACGTCCTATTTTAGTGTCTATATCGTCCATACCGTCCTAGTGTCCATACACAGGTGTAATTTCTAAGCAGGATTTAGAGCAAGGTCACAATGCATGTCCGTGCACTTTCACATTCCCTCCATACTTTTTATATTACCTTACCTACGCATATTGTACGAGTAAGTCACAACTTTTATCAAATGTTTTGTTAGAAAACTTTTGTGTGCCAGCAAGCACTACTGTATTAAGTTTATCAACTTCTTTGCTTGCATATATGTCAACTCTTAGATTTTATCAAATTGCAGTTACTAAATGCATTTTTTTTATAGGATCGGGTGACAAACGAGCGCACAGTCCACCTGATGGTAAGTGGTTGCTGTGGCCCATAGACATCTACATCTGTCCTCGTTTGTGAATCAAAATGCAGATACGTTGTGAGGACTAAGATGGAATGCCTCATTTCCAGTAAAAAGGGTCTCCGGTTCTCTACACTCACCATACGAAACACAGCAGTGTAAACTGCTATTTTACGCTGGTTTTCTGTGAGAGCGTGGTCCTTCCCTGGTCGACCCGATCCATTCGTGCTACAACTATACCACTAATACAGCTGCAGCATGGTTCTACTACGTATAAAAGCATGTAAGAAAGATGCTTTTTAATATTTGATTTTGAATTTTTTGTTCATATTTAGTTATTATTAAGTTTCAGCAAACTGTTAAAGACACAAAGAAAAATTTCTTTCGTATCAATGTTCTGCTCAACATAAATATTCACTAGTTATTCAGGAAAATATAATTTAAATAGGTATAATGATATTATCTTCCTTTTATTGTTAATATATTATATATAAGTTATGTGTGTTAAGTGATGTTTGTCCTTGTGAAATTTATATATGTAAACTGCCCCCACGATACAGGAGAAATGCTAGTGTGGAGGTAACGGTTTTTAATCAAAAAAGAAGAAAAAAAAGACGGAGAAGTAGTCATGATAAAACATTACGTTTTATATATTTATATTTTTACTTTAG